GGATTTTTCTTCGTTTTACATATCTTTTTAATATAAAAAACTTCACAAAGTGTCGTATTTATTGCTTTTATAAAATCTATACAACTGTAAAATTTTAGGTTGCCAGGCATTTATTCTGCACATGTTTTTTTTTTTATTTAAAATGACTAGATGTGTCTTTAAAACTTGATTAAGAGTCGTTTCAATTTCTTTGACATAATTTTACAAGACTATATAATTGTGCTCTATAATGTAGTGCCAAGTTATTTAAAAAAAATTCAACGGTTTAAAAGTTCTGGAGCGGACACGAAAGTGTTACGGACGAACATACGGACAGTATGAGGGACGGACGGACTAACAGACGGAGGCCATTCCTATAAACCCCTTTCCGCTATGCTATGTCGGTAGGACAGCAACGCTCGACTATTCTTAGTGCTTGATAGTAAAAGAGCCTTGACAATGTAAAATTTTCTAAGTTAACAAAAGGGCAAATTTTTCTTTAAATCCATGTTACAGTTATAGGCCTTGGAGAGAGTCCTATCATGCTCTCAAAGAAGAGTTTAAATTTCAACTTGTTTCAAAGCCAGATGTCAATTGAATATGAAAATATCTGAGGTGGTATGCAAACTTAAATGTAAATTGTAAAAGTTGAAAAACGGGCATTATTCTGCTAAATGCTTCAAAGAGTTACCTTCTCCTGTCTACAGGTTGTGGTCAAGATGGTGAACAAGTGTGCAAAGTTTCAAAGCCATATGTCAGTGGACATACTATTTATAATAAAAAAATCACGATTTTCAAGTATAAAAATAATTAAAGCGATAATCAGTAAAAATTAAGTAGTCCTTCGCTTTGAGATATTTTGCTTCTGGGCAAAGCAACGTCATATCGAAATTGCTCAAAACCCCATAGCATGTTCCGCCAGAAAATCGGGCGGAACGAAAAACAATGAAGACAGCGTGTATTTACATAGTTTTTGACCTATTTATGAACAAAACTAAAAAATAAATACCTTTTGTCAAAATAATTAAACTGTCACATCCGAAAAATCATGATTAAATCCTCTCATGTATTTAAATTCCTTTTACAGCCGATAAACAAATGGCGGCCGTAAAGTGCGCGAAATCTGATTGGCTCATTCAAATGCAAGCGTTTAACTGAGTCAGAACAATCTAACGGACTATTTTTTAACGAAATAATTGCCCATGCACCGTCAGTGTGTTCGAATATATTTTTCCGTTCAAAAATTTGGAATCAATCTGTAAAGCACCTTGCTTAACCAGTATGGCTGATAGACAAAAATAGATTGATGTTTATATTTTATTTTAAATTGATAAGTACATTGTTTGAGAGTTTTTGTGTATGATTGAGCATGAAATTGAAAGAAAAGAAGATAAGCTTTTGAATAAATAGACATAGACAATAGACATTTTTTGAATTTTTTATGATGCTATGCGTTTTTGAGTAATAACTATTAGACGTCAGGTTTGACCGACAAAAACTATAACAAGCCTGTAACGTCTAATATATTGGACTAAGTGTAACCTAAAGGCAAAGGTCAATTTGATATACATGAGGGTCCTGACCTAAATGGTGTTGTGTCTAAAAATGAAGTTAATCCATTTATAAATAACAAATTTATAGCCAGTTCCACTTTGATGGTTTTGTCTCACTCTTTGGGAGGACGGTCTGTTAGAGTGCATTCCCCTGCTTAAAACAAAATGGCGTCAGTGGTCCTAAGGGAAGTAACTTTTGGGGGAGGAATAAGGTCCGTCAGAGTACACTCCCCTGCTTATAGCAAAATAACGTCAGTGGTCCTAAGGGAAGTAACTTTTGGGGGAGGAATAAGGTCTGTTAGAGTGCACTCCCCTGCTTTGCAAAAAATGACGTAAGTGGGCCTTAGGGAAGTCACTCTTGTGGGTAAGAAAAAGATCTGTTAAAAATCACTCCCCTGCTTATTGCAGTGTGCTTAAGGGGAAGTGTGCCAAAGGGAAGTAACTCTTGTGCGGAGGAAAAGTCAGAGTAAACTCCCCTGCTTAATGCAAAATGGCGTCAGTGGTCCCAAGGGACGTAACTCTTTGGGCGAGGAGTAAGGTCTGTTCGAGTGCACTCCCTGCAAATTTTGTTAATGGATCAAATGAACTAATTCATGAGAAAAATATATTTAAAAATGTTTATATGGTGTTGAATGCATGTTTGCAAACCTTCTTAAACTTGGATCAAAGGTGGGAAGAAGACAAAGAATATATAACTTCTTTCTTTTCTGCATTTCTGCAGATTTTCTGTCTTTTTATTCTATCAATAGTTTCCACATAAGAATAATATTATAAAACAAGAGCAGACTATAGAACATCTTCCTATACTTCTAGTATTCCCTGCATGCAATAGTGTAATAATTATAGGCCCTTAACAAGAGCCACCGCTCGACTTTTTACTTTCTCTAAAAGCAAACAAAGAAATGTTTGAACAAAATATTAACGTTTCCTTTTTTATAAAATTAATCATTCTGTTTTGTCACATTAGTTTTGTCTATATATTTTATATATATAAATTTACTAATATATATATAAATAGACACACACAATCGAAGTCACATGGTGGTGTCACATTGTGGAGTCACATGGTAGAGTCACGTGGTGGAGTTACGTAGCGGAGTCACGTGGTGGAGTCACGTGGTGAAGTCACGTGGTGGAGTCCAGTGGTGGAGTCACGTGGTGTAGTCACATTGTGGAGTCACGTGGTGGAGTCATTTGGTGGAGTCACGTGGTGTGGCCACGTGGTGGTGTCATGTGGTGTAGTCAAATGGTGGTGTCACGTGGTGGAGTCACGTAATGAAGTCACGTGGTGGAGTCACGTTGTGAAGTCATGTGGTGGAGTCACGTGGTAAAGTCACGATAAACAACAAGGTCTTGTCTTTAAGTATGTTCTGTTATAATATGAAGTTGATCCCTTCAAAAATAGCAAAGTAACAGCCAGTTACAGCCAAAACAAAGTCAAGGTCATTCATGAGTGAAGGTCAAGGGTTATCCTTGAAGATTATTATGTTCAAGTTTGAAGACAATCCATTCAAAAATAACAAAGTTACAGCCAATAATAGCCAAAAACATGAAAATTTCAATAATTTGACCTTCAAAGTCAAGGTCATTTATGAGTGAAGGTCAAGGTCTCTCGGGTTATTTTTAAGGGTTATCCTTGAAGATTATTATGTTCAAGTTTGAAGACAATCCATTCAACAAGAGCTGTCGGTAGGACAGCAACGCTCGACTATTCTTAGTGCTTGATAGTAAAAAAAATGCTTGATACAATTACCTCCTCCTGTTTACAGGTTGGGGTCATGATGGTGAACAAGTGTGCAAAGTTTCAAAGCCATATGTCAATGGACTTTGAAAATATTTGAACTATTACAAAATCTTTAACGTAAATTCTAAGTCGAAAAAGGGGCATAATTCTATCAAAATGCTTGATAGAGTTACCTCCTCCTGTTTACAGGTTGGGGTCATGATGTTGAACAAGTGTGCAAAGTTTCAAAGCCATATGTCAATGGACTTTGAAAATATTTGAACTATTACAAAAACTTTAACGTAAATTCTAAGTCGAAAAAGGGGCATAATTCTGTCAAAATGCTTGATAGAGTTACCTCCTCCTGTCTACAGGTTGGGGTCATGATGGTAAACAAGTGTGCAAAATTTCAAAGCCATATGTCTATGGACTTTGAAAATATTTGAACTATTACAAAAACTTTAACGTAAATTCTAAGTCGAAAAAGGGGCATAATTCTGTCAAAATGCTTGATAGAGTTACCTCCTCCTGTCTACAGGTTGGGGTCATGATGGTGAACAAGTGTGCAAAGTTTCAAAGCCATATGTCAATGGACTTTGAAAATATTTGAACTATTACAAAAACTCTTACGTAAGTGGTTACGCCGACGCCGACGCGGACGCCGACGCTCAGGTGACTGCAATAGCTCTACTTATTCTTATCGAATAGTCGAGCTAAAAATAACAAAGTTACAGCCAATAATAGCCAAAAACATGAAAATTTCAATAATTTGACCTTCAAAGTCAAGGTCATTTATGAGTGAAGGTCAAGGTCTGACTGGTTATTTTTAAGGGATATCCTTGAAGATTATTATGTTCAAGTTTGAAGACAATCCATTCAAAAATAACAAAGTTACAGCCAATAACAGCATGAACAAGCAAAATCTGGACTTTTAACCTTGAAGGTCAAGGTCATTTATTGATGAAGGTCAAGGTTAGTGTGGTCTACTGAAAGGTCTTGTCCCAAGGGTTGTTGTGGCCAAGTATGAAGACAATACACCAAGAAATAATAAAGTTATGATCAAGGTACACGTTTGCCGCCGCGACTATAACAATACCTCTACTTTTTATTTAAAAAAAAAAGTCGAGCTAAAAACTGTACTGGATGAGTCAATCTGACCAAGTTGTATGCTTTTCTTACACAATTTAGCAAATAAAAAAAGGGCGTCATCATCTCTGCCCTTTAATTTAAACTTTTTGCTTATCTCAAGGGCAAATAATTACTAATCGAAGTTTGCAAGGTTTTACATTTTCTGCTTTTCTTGTAGCAGAGTGATTCTGCAATATCTTAATAATTGGTAGCGGTTATTTTTCATCTTCTTTTCTTAAAGCTTTGACGATTCATTTAAATGAACATTTTTAAACTCTGTGACTGAGGATAAAACGAAAAATATACACCAATAGTAAAATTAAAATTTGTAAAGCTCATGGAAAAATTATTTGCCCATGGATTGACCTGAAATAACAAATTCAAGGTCAGTAAACTTGAGTGACCCTCAAATATTTTTAGCTTAAAGGCCCATTGTGCCTCAGTAATGCTTTCAGTTTTTATTTCAGTTTTTTTTTTCCAGTTTGGCAACTAGTATAAATTAATCAGTGCTTTTTATAGGTGTCAAAAAAACTACTTTGTATACATTTGGCTATCATTATTACAAGTTATTTCACATTCAGCACTATTTCCTTCAGATGATTAGCATCTTTCATGTTCTAAATCTATTATTACAATATTATAAAACACGTATTTACCCTTTTTACAGAGGGAAAAAAGATTATTTCTGGGACTTTATGTGCATTAAATATATTTAATTTTTTATTTTCACTAAAGTGAAGATGTTTTACCCTTAGCCTGCTGGTGGCAACATATTTTACCCATAATACCTGGGAAGACAAGACCAGTAAAAACATCAAGTACCGTCTAATCGTGGTCTGCACAGTCTACACAGAGGAGATATTTTAAGAATTTTTAAATGTTATCAGGTAATGACATTCTAGCTATTTTTTTTTACATTTATATAAGAACATTGAGAGTAACTGCAAGATGACAAAGGAAATAAAATAAACAACCTTTAGTTTTAGGGAAGAACAGTCAGCTTTTAAAAATTTAGTAAAACATTTTATTATATTAATTAATTTTCATAATGTTAAGTACTAGTAAAACAACCTTTAATTCTTCCTTAGTTTTTTTTTCTATCCATTTTTATTTTTGCTTTTGAAATTTTTTCAGCTAAAATTCTAAAGCTTGTCTATTCTAAATATTTTTTTGTGCTTGGATTGCCTAATATAAAATTCATTTAACCGATAGTTAAATATTGTTATATTGTTAGCACTGAGAATACACATGTATATAGGTTATTTATTATAGAACAAGTGAAAATGCAGTGAGAACTCAGAAGGTTAAATGACTTTTATAAAGGCAGAAATAAAAAAAAGATTAAAAAAAAGCAGAAAACCCAAAAAGACAAGCCAATAAAATTGCTCTGAAAAAATTCAAAGATCAAATATTATTCCACAAAGATTGATGTATTTATTGTAAAGATTTAATTGCAGATGATCATTATTTTGTATCATTTTATAAAATGTATATAGACTTTTAAAAATCCAAATTTTTTTAAGCCAACGCTCATGCCCATCTGTACAAATTTTTAAAAAAATTATGCCATTAAAGAATAGAATAGCTTCGTTAAATTATTGTAATTAATTTATTTTGAATGCTGTACCAGTACCTAGATATACATTTAATAATTCAAATATCAAATGATCATGCATAATTATTTAAAATTATATTGTTTGCAAGTTTGTTTTATTATCATATGTCGTCTTTACTTTGTAACTGTATATCTAAAATGAATGTCCTAATTTTTGAGGCAAATGTTTTGCTGAATGCTAATAAACATGAACAGTTACTCTCAAGTGATGGGAAATATTTATTTCATATACAGATTAATTATTCAAATTAGACAATTTTACATTAAAGATTTTGCCAAAAACACCATGAATCATGATTTTATTGAGATTTCATTTATCTTTAACTCTCAAGTGTTGGGAAGAAAAACTAATTTAAAATTGACAATTTTACATTATAGATTTTGCCAAAACCTCCATGAACATGGTCTTACCAAGATTTCAATTACCTTACATTTTAAATCTAAACATGTTTTAAAGGCAAAGAATGTCTAAAAACAAGAGCCCGGTTTGAGCCGGGTGATGCTCCCCGAATAGGTTTTGGACACAGGAAAGTACACCTCTTGTAGTTTTCTGAGTTATGTCCCTGGAAAAAGTTCAAAGTGCAATAATTCCAAAATTAGGAAAGGCAGAGTGACTGTTCTTTGCACTGCACTTCGAAATCCCTGTCATCTATCAACTTACAAAGTTTCTTGTTGATATCTCTTATGGTTTCCGAGTTATGTTCCGGACAACTTCAAAAAGTAAAAATAAACAAATGGCAATTACTCCAGAATTAGGCAAGGCAGAGTTATGATTCTCATGCACTGCACATCTACCCATTGAGATACATCTACCTACAAAGTTTCATGTTGATATCTCTTATAGTTTTACAGCTATGTCCAGTACAAGATTTTTCTAAAAGGGAAGATAATTCAAAAATGAGGCTTAACAGAGTTATGTTTTTTTTTGCACTGCACTTCTACTCAATGAGATCTATCTACCTACAATGTTTCATCTTGATATCTCTTATAATTTTAGAGTTATGTTCTGGACAAAGTTCAGTGTTAAAATTAACAAAGGGCAATAACTCCAAAATTAGGACAAAAAGAGTTATTGTTCTTATGCACTGCACATCTACCCATTGAGATCTATTCACCTACACACAAAGTTTCATGTTGATATCTCTTATAGTTTTAGAGTTATGCCCCGGACAAGATTTTTCTATAAGGGGAGATAAGTCAAAAATGAGGCTTAACAGAGTTATGGTTCTTTTGCACTGCACTTCTACTCAATGAGATCTATCTACCTACAATGTTTCATCTTGATATCTCTTATAGTTTTAGAGTTATGTTCCGGACAAAGTTCAAAGTGTTGAAATTAACAAAGGGCAATAACTCCAAAATTAGGACAAAAAGAGTTATTGTTCTTATGCACTGCACATCTACCCACTGAGATCTATTCACCTACAAAGTTTCATGTTGATATCTCTTATAGTTTTAGAGTTATGCTCCGGACAAGATTTTTCTATAAGGGGAGATAATTCAAAAACCGGGCAAAATAGAGTTATGGTTCTTTGACACTGCACTCCCCCTCAATGCCCTCTACCACTGTATGAAGTTTAAACAAATTATCTCCAAGGGTTTTCAAGTTATGCTCCGGACAAAAAAACGGACGGACAGACGGACGGACGGACAAGGCGCCGACTATATGCTCCCCCGAAATTTTTCGGGGAGCATAAAAATGAGTTTTTTTTTATTTATACAATAGGCAAACATGTGTTTTATAATGATGTTAAAATGAATTTAAAGCATGTGAGATGCTTATCACATGAAAAAATAGTGTTGACTGCAAAATAATTTGTGATAAAGATAGCAAAATGTAAACAAAGTGGTATTTTGACTTGCTTATGCAAAGTACTAAATCATTAAAAACTGTACTGCCCGTAATTGTAAAAATGCAAAAAATGACTTGGGTATATGGCCAATTAGAAACTGTTTGAAAACACAAAAAGTAATAAGTTTTTGCATAATTAAAATGATAGCATTTTTTAGGCTTGATGGGCCTTTAAAAATGTTCGTCATAAACTTATGATTTGAGCAAATACATTAAAAGTATATTAACAGCGTATATTAAATAAATTCTTTAAGTTCTATATAATTTAAACTGGTTTCAGATACTAGACCTTGTACTTTTAATTTTGAAAAATATTTCTCTTTTGTTTTATCTTATTTCTTACTGGATAAATTTATTTTTATTTTTATTAATTTTACTTGTATTTCATAATTATCATAAATTTATCATATCACATTATCAGATTTATCATAATCAAGTGTTCCAAAGTTAATCTATCAATTTCTTATATACATGTATTTATAGGGCACAAGAACAATTTCTTTTTGTTTTGTTGGTTTTTGTTTGTTTGTTTTTGGTTTTACGTCACATCAATATCGCGACGTTCCAGCTTTACTGGTGGAGGAAGACCTCAGGTGCCCTTCCGTGCATTATTTCAGGCACGAACGGGCACCTGAGTAGAACCAACGACGTTTCGTAAGCTAGCTGGATAGCTTCCTCACATGAAAGAATCCAAAGTCCCTGCTTATTTCAGGCACAGCTGTGAGGGGCAAGTGGGTTGAAGTCAACGACCTTAACCACTCGGCCACGGACGCCCCTTGTTTTGTTGGTAATTCTGTATGACAGCTTCTAGTGACTGGACATTCCGTCTTAACCTCATTTTGTAGTATCTTCACTAATGTTTTCATGTTTCTCTCCATCCCTACAATAAAGAAAAACAAAAACAATTATTAATTCAGAGTATCATTTTCATTATAAAATGAAATGTAGCCATTTCAAATTTAACTGCTTAAATAATATTTATAAGCTTTGTTCAGTGGACAAAGAAATAAATTACTATGACTTTTTATCAAATCAATATGAACAAGATATACAAGAATTTGTAACAGAATTACCAACGTCCCCCGCCTCAGGGAATTTTTATACGAAGCATAAAATTGTGCTATTTCAAAAGATTGAGGTATGGATCTCAGGACTTTCAGTCCAAACTTATGATCAATGCTAGATCTGCAAATGCAACAATAAATTTATTAAAGAAATAAAATGAAACACGGAATTTAAAAATTTATCATGTAAAGCTTTGACCTCTAAGTGTGACCTTGACCTTGGAGGTAGGGGTGCAGGTGTTATGCATGACATATCGTCTTATTATTGTAACTATTTGTGCCAAGTATTTTCAAAATCCCTTGAACTATGAAGAAGTTATAGATCGGACACAAAATATACCCTATAACAGACTATGTAAATCTTTGACCTCTAAGTGTGACCTTAACCTTGGAGGTAGGGACACAGGTGTTACACATGACATATCATCATATCATTGTGACTATTTGTGCCAAGTATTTTCAAAATCCCTTGATCTATGAAGAAGTTATGGACAGGACACAAAATATACCATATAACAGACTGTTAATGTTTGACCTCTAAGTGTGACCTTAACCTTGGAGGTAGGGGTGCAGGTGTTGTACTTGACATATCATCTTCTTATTGTGACCATTTGTGCCTAGTTATTTTAAAATCCTGAAGAAGTTCTTGATCGGGACACAAAATATACCCTTAAACAGACTATGTTAATTTTTGACCTCCCAAGTTCAAGGTCACACTTAGAGGTCAAAAATTAACATAGTGTAAATAAATTCTGTAAGTTCTATATAATTTAAACTGGTATCTAGACCTTGTACTTTTAATTTTGAAAAATATTTCTCTTTTGTTTTATCTTATTTCTTACTGGATAAATTTATTTTTATTTTTATTAATTTTACTTGTATTTCATAATTATCATAAATTTATCATATCACATTATCAGATTTATCATAATCAAGTGTTCCAAAGTTAATCTATCAATTTCTTATATACATGTATTTTATAGGGCACAAGAACAATTTCTTTTTGTTTTGTTGGTTTTTGTTTGTTTGTTTGTTTTGGGTTTTACGTCACATCAACACAGTATAGATCATATCGCGACGTTCCAGCTTTACTGGTGGAGGAAGACCTCAGGTACCATTCCGTGCATTATTTCAGGCACCAACGGGCACCTGAGTAGAACCACCGACGTTCCGTAAGTTAGCTGGATAGCTTCCTCACATGAAAGAATCCAAAGTCCCTGTCGGGATTCGAACCCACAGCGGTGAGGGGCAAGTGGGTTGAAGTCAACGACCTTAACCACTCGGCCACGGACGCCCCTTGTTTTGTTGTTTTGTTGGTAATTCTGTATGACAGCTTCTAGTGACTGGACATTCCGTCTTAACCCCATTTTGTAGTATCTTCACTAATGTTTCCATGTTTCTCTCCATCCCTACAATAAAGAAAAACAAAAACAATTATTAATTCAGAGTATCATTTTCATTATAAAATGAAATGTAGCCATTTCAAATTTAACTGCTTAAATAATATTTATAAGCTTTGTTCAGTGGACAAAGAAATAAATTACTATTACTTTTTATCAAATCAATATGAACAAGATATACAAGAATTTGTAACAGAGTTACCAACGTCCCCCGCTTCAGGGAATTTTTATACGAAGCATAAAATTGTGCTATTTTGAGGTATGGATCTCAGGACTTTCAGTCCAAACTTATGATCAATGCTAGATCTGCAAATGCAACAATAAATTTATTAAAGAAATAAATTGAAACACGGAATTTAAAAATTTATCATGTAAAGCTTTGACCTCTAAGTGTGACCTTGACCTTGGAGGTAGGGGTGCAGGTGTTAATTGCATGACATATCGTCTTATTATTGTAACTATTTGTGCCAAGTATTTTCAAAATCCCTTGAACTATGAAGAAGTTATAGATCGGACACAAAATATACCCTATAACAGACTATGTAAATCTTTGACCTCTAAGTGTGACCTTGACCTTGGAGGTAGGGACACAGGTGTTACGCATGACATATCATCTTATCATTGTGACTATTTGTGCCAAGTATTTTCAAAATCCCTTGATCTATGAAGAAGTTATGGACAGGACACAAAATATACCATATAACAGACTGTTAACCTTTGACCTCTAAGTGTGACCTTGGAGGTAGGGGTGCAGGTGTTGTACTTGACATATCATCTTCTTATTGTGACCATTTGTGCCTAGTTATTTTAAAATCCCGAAGAAGTTCTTGATCGGGACACAAAATATACCCTTATACAGACTATGTTAATTTTTGACCTCTAAGTGTGACCTTGAACTTGGAGGTAGGGATGCAGGTGTTGTGCATGACACATCGTCTCATTATTGAGAACAATTGTGGCAAGTATTTACAAAATCCCTTCAAAGATAAGAAAGTTATGGACTGGACACGACATATACCCTCAAATAGGCAATGTGTACCTTGACCATGGAGGTAGGAGTCTGGTTGTTGGGCATGACACATCGTCTTATTATAACAAACATTTGTGCCAAGTTATTTCAGATTCCTTTGATAAATGACACAGTTATGGACAGGACACGAAAGTGTGACGGATGCGTGGACAGACGTCCGGACAGAGCCTATTTCTATATCCCCCTTTTTTTCTTCGAAAAGGCTGGGGACAACAAGAGCCATATGTTAACATGGCCATCCCCCCCGCCAAATGTGTTTGTTCATTGGGGGAATGTATATGTAGTAGAGCAGAATAATTCAATTTTAAGAGGTCTTTCAGGTAATGAAAACTGATGACTGAAGTGTTTACAAATTTGAAACCTATGTGGATACTGGTGGCTGAAAATAACAAAGGGCAAAAACTCAAAAATAATGCAGGGTAGGTTATCATTCTTGTGTGCTGCACTCCTCCTTAATGAGATCTATCCACCTATGAACTTTCAAATTGATACTTCCAACACTATTAAGATGAGCTCCAGACAAAAAGTATGAAAAATAACAAAGGGCAATAAGTCAAAAATTATAAAGGGTACAGTTATCATTCTTGCTCACAGCATTCCTCGTCAATAAGATCTATCCACCTATGAAGTTTCATGTTGACAGCTCAAAGACTTTTTTGAGTTATGCTTCACTCAGGTGAAAAATTAAGTATGAAAAAAAACAAAGGGCAATAACTCAAAAATTATGAAGGGTAGAGTTATCTCTCTTATGCTCTGCACATCTCCTGAGTGAGATCTATCCACCTATGAGGTTTCATGCTGATATCTTAAATGCTTTTTGAGTTATGCTCTGGACAAAATTAAGTTTAAAAAATAACAAAGGGCAATAACTGAAAAATTATGCAGGGTACAGTTATCATTCTTGTGCACTGCACTCCTCCTCAACGAGATCTTTCCACCTATTCAATTACAAGTTGATACCTCAAGTACTTTTGAGATATGCTCCGGCGGAAGAACGGATAGTTGGACATATGGACAGACTGACGGACGGAGACTATTTTTATATCCCCTGCTGCCTTTTCGGCGGGGAATTATAATAACAACAGCTAGTATGCTCAGCTAAAATGCTGGTCACAGTAAAGACAACAAGAGCCACCGCCGGGCGGGGGCAACGCTCGACTTTTTACTTTTTCTAAACGCAAACATAGAAAGGTTTGAACATATCTTAAAGTTTCCTTTTTATAAATTTAGTTGGTCTGTCTTGCTACATTAGTTTTGTTTATCTATTTTGTATATATATATATATGAAAAGAAACACGCAATTCTATAAATAGAAACACGCAATTCAATAAATAGAAAGACGTAATTCTATAAATAGAAACACTCAATTCTATAAATAGAAACACGCAATTCTATAAATAGTAACAAGCAATTCTATAAATAGTAACACGCAATTCTATAAATAGAAACACGCAATTCTAAAAATAGAAACACACAATATACGTTGTTGTTGTTGTTGATGATGATGGTGATGATGATGATGATGATGATAGAAATAGATATATATATATATATATATAGGTTTGTGAAAAAAATTTGCATCTACAAAATACCTTTCAAAAACACTGGATCCAAAGAAGGATACAAGAACGTGGAAAAAAACAATAAATTTGGAGAAAATAAACGTTCATACAGTGCTAAAGTATAAATACCCAAGTACTTTCGGCGTATTATGCCTTCATCAGGGGTGTATTACATGCATAATGTGCACACAATCGAGCACAAAATCTCAATACGTGTGTACTGTATAGTATCAAAAATTGAACTGAAACACAGTCGCTAGAAAGGTGATAAAATTACATCGATTATGAATAGACCGTTATTGAATGGTCATTGTGTAGTACTTTACAAAAGAGAATATAGCCTGCGGTCAATATGGCATAAACTCGGTTAAATATATCGTTTAAAAGAAAAAAATATATATATTAACTAAAAAAAATAAAACTTCACATATAAGGGCGTTTTGTGTTTTTATTACTATAAGTATGATGTAAGAAAATGCAAGTTACAAACAGTATGATGTTATATTAAGTGGAAATTTACGATAAGGTGAAAGTAAAAACGAAGCTCTCAGGCTTTCACCTTATCGTAAATTTCCACTTAATATAACATCATACTGTTTGTAACTTGCATTTTCTTACATCATACTTATAGTAACAAGATATGTTTGTAAAACATGTATGCCCCCTATCAGCAGCCAATTAGTCATGTGATAAGGTTATTATGCATGACTTCTGACCCAGTGATCAAACAATTAATAAGGTTTATCAAGTATCTACTGGTCATGACCTTTACCTTTAACCCCTTGACCCAAAACTCAATAGGGGTCATCTGCTGGTCACAACCAATCATCATACAAAGTTTGAAGTTCCTAGGCCTAAGCGTTTTTAGTTAATTGATCAGAAACCGTTTTTAACATACAAGGTCAATGTGACCTTGACCTTTGACCCCAAAATCAATAGGGGTCATCTGCTGCTCATGACCAATCACCATGCCAAGTTTGAAGTTCCTAGGCCGAAGGGTTCTTTAGTTATTGATCAGAAACCGTTTTTACTAACAATGTCAATGTGACCTTGACCTTTGACCCCTTGATCCCAAAATCAATAGGGGTAATCTGCTGGTCATGACAAATCACCATACCAAGTTTGAAGTTCCTAGGCCTAAGCGTTCTTAAGTTATTGATAGAAACCGTTTTTACTTACAAGGTCAATGTGACCTTGACCTTTGACCCCTTGACCCAAAATCAATAGGGGTCATCTGCTGGTCATAACCAATCATCATACAAAGTTTGAAGTTCCTAGGCCTAAGCGTTTTTAGTAAATTGATCGGAAAATGTTTTTACCTACAAGGTCAATGTGACCTTGACCTTTGACCCCTTGACCCCAAAATCAATAGGTCATCTGCTGGTCATGACCAATCACCATACCAAGTTTGAAGTTCCTAGGCCTAAAGGTTCTTAAGTTATTTTTTGGAAAGCTTTTTTACCTACAAGGTCAATGTGACCTTGCCCTTTGACCCCTTAACCCCAATATCAATAGGGGTCATCTGCTGGTCATAACCAATCACCATACCAAGTTTGAAGTTCCTAGGCCTAAGGGTTCTTTAGTTATTGGTCGGAAACTGTTTTTACCTAAGAGGTCAATGTGACCTTGACCTTTGACCCCTTGACCCCAAAATCAATAGCGGTCATCTACTGATCATGACCAATCACCATATCAAGTTTGAAGTCCCTAAGCCTAAGGGTTCTTTCGTTATTGATCGGAAACCGTTTTTTTACCTACAAGGTCAATGTGACCTTGACCTTTGACCCCTTGACCCCAAAATCAATAGGGGTCTATTTGCTGGTCATAACCAATCACCATACCAAGTTTGAAGTTCCTAGGCCTAAGGGTTCTTATGTTATTGATCAGAAACCGTTTTTACCAAAAAGGTCAATGTGACCTTGACCTTTGACCCCTTGACCCTAAAATCAATAGGGGTCATCTACTGATCATGACCAATCACCATACCAAGTTTGAAGTTCCTAGGCCTTAAAGTTCTTTAGTTATTGATCGGAAACTGTTTTTGCTTACAAGGTCAATGTGACCTTGACCTTTGACCCCTTGACCCCAAAATCAATAGGGGTCATCTACTGATCATGACCAATCACCATATCAAGTTTGAAGTTCCTAGGCCTTAAAGTTCTTTAGTTATTGATCGGAAACCGTTTTTGCTTACAAGGTCAATGTGACCTTGACCTTTGACCCCTTGACCCCAAAATCAATAGGGGTCATCTACTGATCATGACCAATCACCATACCAAGTTTGAAGTTCCTAGGCCTTAAAGTTCTTTAGTTATTGATCGGAAACCGTTTTTGCTTACAAGGTCAATGTGACCTTGACCTTTGACCCCTTGACCCCAAAATCAATAGGGGTCATCTACTGATCATGACCAATCACC